AATTTTTTAGCACTCATCCCATGGCCGCAGAGGTGAGTTTTTATAAAAATGGTCATGGGGTGGCTCTCAGGGCATATGTTTGGGTGCACTGTGGTGCTTAGGTGGAGGGTAGATGAGCTCTACAATTTGATTTGGCTGAGCTGGCCTCTAGGTTTGATTTGGAAGTTTGATTTGGGCGAAGCCCCTTGGGGTGGCTCTCGGTTTGGCCATTTTTCAGCCACTAGGCTGGCCGACCGGCCAGGGGGAGGTAGCTAGGAGCTCAGGGAACCCAGGAGAATATGTCATAGCAATTTAATGCATTGAGGTTTAGTTTTGGCAAAAATATCCAAGGCTTAGTCCATGGCTTATTTTAGGTGGTTAGATAGGTTTTGGCTCAGTCTTAGGGTCTAACCAATGGCTGAGGTGGAGTTAATTTGGTGACTTTAGGGTAGTTAGACCATCTTTAATGCATAGGTTCAATGTGGGTTCAAGTGATCAAAGTTTGGGTTTGGGCTAGGTTATCCATGTCAAATGACCCAATTGATTGATCAACATTATGTAGATGATTGTTATGAGGATTTTTGGTGAAGGGTTGAAGTGATTTTGAGTTCAATTGGTAGGTCAATTTGAGGGATTTTTGAGATTTGGCCAATTTGGGCATATTGGTCTAGACATGGGTCTAGGTTGGTATAGCCTTGGGCTAAGTCCAAATTGAATATTTCAAATGATCAAGGGAGATGTTGTGAAGATTTTTCATGAAAGGATGGAGTGGAAATTTTGGGGTTAAGGCCCTCAATTTGGTGAAATTTGAGGACATGACCAATTTGGGGTAAATTTGGGGCTTTTGGACTTAGATTGAAATCAAATGAAATTGAGGTTTCAACAAGGCCAATTTAAGGTAAAATTTAATGTGTAGGAATGTTATGAAGATTTTTCAACACAAATTGTGGCCAATTGAGTGGGCTATGGGTTCAATTTGGTGGAACCAAGTCATGGGGCCAAAATTGGGGTTTTGGTCTAAATCAAAATTGGGTTCAAATCATGGACTAATTGGGCTTGAATTTGGTCTAGATTGGTCATATCAAGGGTGAATTTAAGTTTAAAATTGAAATTGGGGGAAATTGAGACTAATTGGCTAGACATTTAAGGTAATTTGGGGAAAATATGGGTCTTTAAAGGGCAATTTGGGGGTCAAAGGTGGTCAAATTGACTAAATTGGGTCATGTGGTACTTGAGGAAAATGAAATTAAAAATATTTTGGAGATTTTGGGAATTTTTTGGAATTTTTGGGATTTTGGGCCAAAGAGGGGTATTTTGGTAATTTGGCCAATTTTGGTGATTTTGAGTAGTTTGGGTATTTTCAAGGTGTTTGAAATGTTTTTTGAATAGTCTTGGGTATTTTGGGTAAATTTGAGAATTTTGACCAAATTTGGGGTCCCAATGGTATCTAGGAAATTTGGGGGAATTTAGGGACAAAAAGCTAGGTTGGGCATTTTGGTAGAGTTGGATTGTTTGGGTTGGGCATTTTGGTAGAGTTGGATTGCCAACCACCATAAATAAACCATGTACCAATGGAAACCCCATTTTGGGTTCTCTATGTAGTGGTCTTAGTTAAACCCTAGCTTAAGGGCTAGTAGGTTTAGGGGACCATCGACATGAGTATCCCAAAAGCT